GTTATTTTCTCCTTCAGGACAGACACATGCAACACCCCTTGCTGCCCACCCCCCACCCCAAGGACCCAGGCATCCTGCCCCCCAGCCCGGACTTGTTCGTCTTTTGGAGGCAGGAAGCAGAATGAGCAAAGGATTTAACTCTTTCTCGGCTGCTCCCCACCTCTCTCCCACCGCATGGTGGCCACCCCCAGTGATTGATCCTGGAGAGACCCAGACGCAGGGAACTGAGACTGACAACTGGGAGTAGAAAAGACGAACCAGCCAACGTCCCGTCCTTGTAATGGGTTCCCTCACCCCCACCCAATTCTTCAATGTCTTGGGGAAGTTTGTTTTGGGACAAAGCTGGAGGTGGGGCTGGGTGGTGAGTGGAAAGAAGACCCCCCCACACACACCCAACTGGAGATGGAACTGCAAAGGAGAAATTTACAGAAATTTACAGTGGAATGCCTACTTTTTGCCCTTCCCTCCCAACCCCAGCAGGCCCAACTACCCCAGCCCTGCCTGGGGCCTCCACCCTCAGTGCGTGAAGAAGTGAGACCAAGACAGAAGGTGAAGGCCAAAGTGAGGAAGTCACATCTCCATGATGGAGAGACAGGACTGGGCTACTTGGAGCTGGAGACTCGGGCCAAAGGCAACAAATGAAAGACCAAAGAGAAAGAAAGTGCAGAACATGGGGAAGGCGGAGCCTAAGAGAGAAAACAAGGGCCAAGTGAGAGAGCAGGAAGAAAAAAGACGGGGCTGTCTGATGTGACGGACAGGTGACAATGGAGCGGGGAGAGGTCAGTATGGAAGCAGAGGCCAAGGTCGAAATCGACAAGCACCACCCCTCAGGTGTCTCCCCCAACCCTGAACCCAGCTCTTACCTGCCCCATCTCCTCTGGAGCAACCAACTCCATCCTCAGCCGCAGAGCTCCATCCTTCGTACGCGACAGTGGAGGGGTCCCTGCTGTTGAGCCCCCTGCCTCCACTTCTACCCTCAAAGAGGGCAGGGGCGTGGCAGCCCGGGAAGTGCCCGCGCTATCCCCCGTCCCGGCCTCTGGGGGGCGCTGCTGGGGCGCGGAGGCTGACAGGGGGGTTGTCTCCAACTTGGCCTTGCCGGGCACTGCCAGCTGGCCCAGCCCCCCGGTGAAGGAGCGGGCCTGAGGTCCAGGGGAGGTGGGGGGCGGGCGGAGCCAGGAGGTGGGGCCCTGAGACAGGCCTGGCTGTGGGGTAGGGGTGGCCAGGCCTAAGCTGGCCAGCTCCAACCTGGAATCCAAAGACCTGCCCCCATTGCCCCCTGAGGCCCCTCGAATCCCTTCCAGGAGCCGGCCAAAGCTAGGGGGCTCCAGGTCTCTCTCGTAAACATCCACACATGTCCAACGGCCTCGGCGATAAGGCTCTCCCAGGCCTTGGGGCAGCTTCACCACCCGGAAACGGGAGGCGGGGGCCCCAGGCGGTGGGGAGCCATTCCGGGGGGTGCCCTTGCCCCCTGGCTCGGGGTTGGGCTCCTCGTTGGGCACGCGGGGCGGGGGCCCAGTGGGAGCCGGCAGGGCAGGGGGATCTGGACCCCCTGGGCTCCCCGGACCCTCGTAGTCCGTGGTGACGCTGGTGATTTGGAAACTACTCTTCTTCTTGCCCCCACTCATGGTCCCTGGGGCTCAGGACTGGGCCAAGGTGGGCAGGGGGGCGGTGGTGGCTCTTCGAGGGGCTCAGGCACCCCTGGAACAAGGGGGCCACATGGTGGGGACATCAGAGCCCCTGGGGATGTCTGGGTCCGACATGGCAGGAGGGCCTTACGGGAACTGGGGGTGCCTGGTTGGTGAAGGGAGAACAGGGTAGGGGAGGTGGCGGGAGCTGGGGGGGCAGGGGCAGGTTTTTCCTGCTGCTGTCGCTGCCACCGCCGAACTCCAGAGCTGAGTTTGCAAACTGTAGAGAGAGAGAGAGAGAGAGACAGAGAGAGAATGTGTGAGAAAGCAGTGGGCAGGCCACCTCCGGGGCTTCCTCTCTGGGGAGCGGAATGGGGGGAGGAAGGGGAAACCGCCAGAGACAAAGAGACAGAAATGACAGAGACCAGAGCAGAGGGGACAGATCCGGGCGGGCGCAGAGAGCAGGAAGAGGCGGCCCAGACCCAAAGTTGGGCATTTCTCGCTGGGATTCAAACTCACGGGACCCAAGTCGTCCCAAGAGCAAGGGCTCCAAGGCCTGGGTGAACAGGAGTGAAGCCGCTCCTCAGCCCGGCCAGGCCGCCGGGAGGCCTGTGCTGGGCCACCGAGGCCCCCTGCACCGCAGCTCCCCCATCCCTGAGGCAGGCCCTGCCCCGCCGCCCCGCCGCCCCGCCCAACCCAGAGCCCTACCTCTCGGCCGCGGCCACCGAGCTGGGCCGGGGGTCCCGGCCGCCTAAGATGTTGGGTTGTCCCTTCCCCGGGGCCTCGTGGCCCCAGCAGCTCGGGGGCGCAGGCGGCAATTAGAGGCTGGCCGGTCCTCTTCGGGGGCCGCACCTCGCCCCGAAAGGCATCTCCGCGGAAAGTTTGCTGTCCAGAAAAGAAGGAACCCCCGCCTCCTTGGCGGAGCCCAGGCGCGGCCTCCGAAGCCCCAAGGGTCTGCGGACCGATGCGGGAGGGGGCGCCTTAGCCCCCGACCCTGCAGGTGCAGCCGCCTCGGTGGTCGTCGCGGCGAGTGGCTCTCCCAAGTCTCCTTCCGCGTGGCACCGCTGGGTCTCCCTCCGCTCCTCTCGGTCTTTCTCTTTCGGGGCTGTTGACAACCCCCACGCCAGGAAGTCCTGCCTCCTCGGGCCTGCTGACTGCTCCTCTCCTCCTCCTCCTCCTCTTTCCCCTCTTCCTCCCCTTCCTCCGCCCTTTCTCGCTCCTGGGGCTCCCAGCCAGCTGGCCCGGGGCCAGGTCTGCCCCGGCCACTGCTGGTGCAGTTGCCGCTGCCGCTGCTGTTCCAGGGGCCCGGAACAGGATGCCTTAACCCCACACCTGCTGGGCCCCAGCCCAGCTCTTCCTCGGAGGGAGGGGCCGCGGAGGGCGGAGAGAAAGGGGAGGAGTTTGCGGGGAGGCCCGGGATTCCCTTACTTGTAGGAACTTGCTGCCATTGGCCTACGGACGCACGGAAGAGTGGGGAGGAACTTACCAGGATCCTGCTGGGTGCCTGCTACTCCGTAAGCGCCCAGTAAATTGTTCTGGTGCTGCTGCAGCTGTTATTGTCATATCGTCGCTGGTTTTCACAGCAACCGTACGAGGAAGATACTGTTTTTCTCCCCGGTCCTTATTTTTTCAAGCGGATCCTTATGACAATTTTCAAACATGCCCCAAACTAGAGAGAATGGTAAAATGAACCCCTAGGGACCCAGCAGGGGGTTTCAACAGTTGTCAACTCACAATTGAAACTCAATCTTGTTTCAATATCTTTTGTTGTAGTGTGCTGGAGTATTTGAATCAAACCCCAAACATCGTACTGTTCCTCTTGTTAGATGTGGAAATTGAGACCCAGGACGTTCAGAAAGGCTATCAGTGGTAGAGCAGGGACATTTCTCACACTCAGGTGTGTCCTTGTCTGGCTCCCTAGATCGGGATAGAGAAATGACAGAGACACATTCAGGAAGGTGCTGACTTGCATTTTCTCTCCAACCGCGGGTCACACACAGGCACCCGTACAGATGTGCCTGCCGAAGGAGGAACCTGGCTGGCCACAAGCCTGAACCCTTCCCCACACACCCACCTCTCACTCTTCCCACCTCTCCATCCCATCCCCTGCTCACTGTGGAGAATCCACACACACTCATAAAGGGCCTACTATGTGCTTGGCATGAAAGAATAAACCTCCAACTTCCATTTTCTCTTTTTTGCGCCCCCCAACATTCTGAAAAGAATTATTTTAGCAAAAGCAGCGTCTAACGACCGTATCTGCCTTCACTCCCAGGTTCAGAAGGAAATGGATTCTAATTAATTTGGGTCATATGGAACTCTTTTCAAGCATATTAAAATTCTTCATATTTGTCCACTCTACATAATTATCTCATGGATTCTCAAAACAGCCCTGGGCAGAAATGGGGTGGGTTTTGAGCTCCAGTGGCTCTGCTAAGGACACTGAGGCTTGGGTTACTTGCCCAAGGCCTCAGAGCCAGCATTTGATGGCATTGAGACTGGCTCTGGGCTGTCTGACACACCCTTCCTTCCTCAGCTTTAGCTCTTGGAAATTTTTAACCACCCTTTAGGATTAGACAAAAACAAAATAATGCAAACCCCCTTGCCCCCAGTTTATCTTTATCTCGTTAAAATGCATCTGCCTGTCTCTCTCCCTTCAAATGGTAACAATGACTACCGGAGCTCGATCCTGAGGCCTCCCAAGTGGTGAGGTGCAGGAAGCAGCCTCCCACGCAACGGCCCCACCCCCACCCCCAGACCCTCTCCCCTCTGGCAATATTCAGAACACAGCCCCGCTGCTCCGCCCCCAGATCCTCCTTCCCTCTGCGATAGCTCGCTACAAAGTATTCAACCTTATCTTTGCATCCTCCTCTTCCCACCAACTCAGACAATCAACATCACCTTGGACTCCTCCGTGTCTACAGTCCCAGGGACATTGTTGGTCTCTGTGGAAATGTTTGTTGAATGAATAAATAAGAGTTTATTCACACTAAGGTGTAAATGTGAAAGGATAGTTATGTATTTTAATGTGTTAACTCTCCCAGGGGCATTTGTAATAGCCTTTTAATATATGGGGCCATTTACGACTTATTCTTTATATTCATTACTTTGCGGAGTCAAAGGTTACTGGGAGGATGACTTGGACCGCGGGGGCGGACGGGCAAAAGATTTTGAGCCCTGGCGGTGAAACAGGCCTGGACCCCTGGGAACCTGCAGGGATTGGCGACGAGCACCAAGAGAGCCAGCTCCAGTGCCCTCCCTGTACCTGGGGGGCGGCTGGAAGACGGGGCGCGGCCCAGGGAGCTCGCCCCCTGCTGGACAAAGACGCGGATGGTCCAGCTCCCGACTCTCAGAGCCCCTCAGCCCGGAAACCGGCCCCCCCTGCCGGCCTCGCCGCCTCACTGCACCCCGGGCCCCGCAGCCGCAACCTCGCCCGCGCCGGACGTGGTGTGCGCACCCGGGGAGCGCCGGCTGCACGGGGTACGCGCGTGGGCGCAGGCCCCGGGTCGCCGCTGGGGGGCGCCGCTGCGCCCTGCGCCCAGCTTCGCTCCGCCGGGGCCTTGGACACCAAACCCAGCACGGCCCTGCCGGGCAGGGGCGAGGGGCTACAAGGAGCGGACGCCCCAAAGCGGGGACGGGCTGGCGCCGGGTCCCCTGCACCCCACGACGTTTCTCCGAGTCCCCCCGCCGGCTCCGCTGGCCCAGTGCCCCCCACCCCAGCCTAGCGGCGCAGCGCAGCACGGCCACTCCCGCTCCGTCCTTGGAGGGTGTGGAAGGGTGGGTTTGGGGCCGGGGGCGGGTCTGGGGGCGGACCCGGAGGCGGGGCTGTCTCTGCGGCAGGGCCCTGTTCGGCTCCCCCCCGGTCTCTCTCTGTCTCTCCTCCTCCCTCCTCCTGCTCCGGGCGGAGCCCGGCATGGGGGGGGCCGGCGCCCGGCAGGCCAGGTACGGTGATGTAGAAATTGGGGAGGCTTGGTGCGGGGAGGTGGGATGGGGGCACAAGGGGTAGGGAGGATTGGCGGGGCGAGAGACGGAGAAACCCAGGGTAGCAGGACAAGGGGAAGGGGAGGGGTGCCCGGGAACCTGGGGCCTTTGGATGGAGAGGGGGATGAAGCCGGCCAGGTTTGGAACAAACAGGGAAGGGAGAGGACGGCAGTGAGGAGGGGCGCCTAGAAGGAGAGGTGAGGCAGAAAGCGCAAAGGAGAGTGTGTTTGGGGGAAGGGAAACCAGGGCAGGTATGGAGGCCGCAGCTCAGAAGGTAGCTATGAGGCCAGACTGGAGACCCCCGGGTGGGATGGAGGGGCGGGGACTGCGAGAGGGAAGCCGAGAGCCTCCCAGATCCCTGAGGAGGAAGGTGATTTGGGCGCTCAGCGAGGGAGGCGGAGACCTTCGCTGAGGGGCCAGGGTGCAGGAATAGGGGTGGACGGAAGCCCGGGCCCAGGCGAAGGACTGGTGAGGGGGTCGGCAGGGAATGGAGAGACATGGATGGGTGGTCTTGTAGCTGCCCAACTCAGAATGCCCCCACCCTTTCTCCAGCATCCCCGCCCTGCCCTCATGACACCCCCCAGCCTCAGGCCCCAAGAGGGGGTGGGGAGTCTGACCGTCTCCCCCTTCCCCAGCGGGGTGCAGTGTAGGCAAGTAGGCCCCGGCATGACTCCTTGTCTATAGGTACGTCCAGTTCGGTGCGCCGATTTGTGTGTGTCTGGAGGTCTGTGTGTGCTGTGGGTGTGTCGGGGTGTTTATGTCTGTGTGTCTGGCTGTTCCTAGGTTGTGTTTACCTGTGCCAATCAGCGTGTCTGGTCCTCTGTTGGTAGATATGGGTCTGTGGCCCGGTGGTTTGTGGGTCTGAACGTGTGTTTGTGTGGCCGCAGGGTTGCTGTAGGTTGGTGGGGCCTGTCTGTGTGGTGGCTCAGGATGTATTTACAGGATGGGATTCTGTGTCAGTCTGATCTCTCCAGATTGTGTATCTGTGGCTCTGAACACCTTTGTCAGGGTGTGTGACTCTGGATACGTGTCCGTCTGTGTCTGTACGTGTGTGGGTCCTGAAGGCGGCGTTGGGTTTTCTGTGCTTCCATCTGTTTTCCTCTCTCTGAGGACCAGAGTCACATCTCTGCTCCCTTCTCTTTCTTTCTCATTCATTCCTGGCCCCGACCACCCCACATCTTTCTTTTTTTTTCCTTTCCATTCCCCCCCACCAAGTGGATCCGGGACCCAGGGAGGGTCGCCCCCCGGGCCTGGTGGCGCTGAGCAGGAATCCCCAGCACCTGCCTCCTGCCCCACGACATGAACCTCCTCTACCGAAAAACCAAGCTGGAGTGGAGGCAGCACAAGGAAGAGGAGGCCAAGAGGAGGTAAGGCCGCATCCCAGATTGCCCCCTCACCTGTCCCACCTCTGCTTCCCTCGTGGCGGGGCCACATCCCTCTGCCCTTCCTGACTCCAACAGCCTGGTCATCAGTCTGATCTCAGAGCCCGTGCTCACTACAGAATTGCTGGAATTGCACACGCCCTGTCCCTGCCCGGCTCCTGGCTCCTGGCTCCAGCCCCTGCCCTGGCCTCTCAGGGGGCTTCCAGCCCAGGGACACCCTGGGGCTCTTCCCCATCCCCAGAGGCCCAAGACACTCCTTCCTGACTCACCTCTGGCCTGTGATGTCCTCCTCTCTGTCAGTGTGGGCCTGGCTCCTGGTTCCCCTGTCACCTGACCTTGGAAGGGGCAGGCCCTGCTGCCCTCACAGTCCAGGGATGGGTCATTTGAGGGGCACCAGAGATGATCCATTTGGCCCCCTCCCAGTGATGGGGCTGTGTGTGTGTGGGAGGGGGGCAGGCTGGCCCTGCAGAGGAGCCAGGGCTGGGAACCAATACCCCCCCCACACACACACACACAGCTCGCCCCCTCTCCTTGCCCTCCCGGGGACCTGGCACCTGGCCTCTTCTGTCTTGCTCCTTTCTCTTCATTCCCATTGGTGGCACAGCCGCTCGGAGCCTGAGTCAGAGCCACCTCCCTGCTCCCTTCTCCCTCCTCAAAACTGTGGAGTTTAATTCTTGTTGTTAATTAGATTAATCAGAGCTATCACTGCACTGATCTCTCCCTAATGAAGGGTTAGCAGACAGGGTCTTAATGAGAGCCCACCCCACCGCAGCTCTCCCCTCTTCCCTGCCAGCCGCACCCCCTCTTCACTTACACAGAAGCTCAGAGACAGTGAAAGGGAATGGGGGGTGAGCCTGGGAGGGTGACAGAGAGAGGACAGCGCCGAGGGAGAGGGAGAGGGAAAGAGAGGGAAAGAAAGAAAGAGAGAGAGGCAGGGAGGAAGAAGGATCAGCTGGGGGAGGCCGCTCTGAGGATGCGGCGGTACAGCCCGGGTCTGGGAAAGGAGGCGGTGTGGGAGTGGAGGCCGCAGCAGCCAGACATGAAGGGAGGCCAGAGGCCAGGTGTGGGCCAGCGTGAGGGTGAGAAGGAGCAGAGCCAGGGTGGCAGAAGCATGTGCCAGGCGGGGCTGCGCTGCCTGGGTTTGCATCTCTATGTACGAAGTTGTCCACACATGTGTGTGCACCAGAGATGCCCAGGCTGGGGTCGGCCAGCTCCAGGAATGCTCCCTTGCACACAGGCTCACCCCTTCTCTCATCCCTGCCTTTTTCAAAGCCTAGAAATTCAGTCTGAAGCTTCTTTAGTGCTTTGGACCCTCAGGCTCCCCCCATCTCCACCCCGGCCCCCCTCCTCCTACCTGGGAGGCCACAGGGTTGCAAACCCCTCTTGGGGTATGGGAGCCGGAGGCCCAGGCCTGAGGCCCGACCTCTGCTCCATCTGGGCCTTCTCTCCCCAGCTCCAGTAAGGAGGGGGCTCCTGCAGGCTCCTCGGGGCCCGGGGCCGGCCCAGGGCCGGGGGTCCGCGTGCGGGACGTTGCCTCGCTGCGCCGCTCGCTCAGGATGGGCTTCATGACGATGCCCGCCTCCCAAGAGCACACCCCCCACCCCTGCCGCAGCGCCATGGCCCCACGCTCCCTCTCCTGCCACTCGGTGGGCAGCATGGACAGCGTGGGGGGCGTGCCTGGGGGGGGCGGGGGGGGCCTCACAGAGGACGGCAGCACCCGAAGACCCCCGGCCAAGCCCCGGAGACACCCCAGCACCAAGCTCAGCATGGCAGGGCCGGGGGCAGAGACGCCCCCCAGCAAGAAAGCAGGTGAGACACCAGCACCCCTGCCCAGTAGGAGCCGGGAGCTGGGAGGATCCATTCCAGGCCAGGGGAGGCCTGCCGGGAGGGTTCATTCAGGGAAGAACCAAGGAAGTGGAAGGTTCCATTCTCAGAAGGATTGGGGGGGTTCCTTTTTAGAAGGGCCTGAGATGAACCATTCAAGGGCAGGGGAAGATCCTTGAAAAGTTCATTCTTGGGAAAGGGGTGGCCCTGGAGGGCCTTGAGGGTCAGGGAGAATTGAGGGTGGGAGCTGCAGATTCTGGGGCGTTCATTAGAAGGACAGGAGGCAGACCGGTAGGAAAAGAACCCACTGGGGCTGTAAGTTGAGGGATGTGGGGAAAATGAAGAGGCAGAAATGTCCTTGCCGGTGAGTCAAGAGGTCACACTGGGTCTCCCCATTTCCTTCCTCGACTTACAGCCCGGTTTCTTGTTCTCTTTCCCACTCCTGCCCAGGCTCACAGAAGCCAACCCCGGAGGGCCGCGAGTCCAGCCGGAAGGTTCCTCCACAGAAGCCCAGGCGAAGTCCCAACACCCAGCTCTCTGTCTCCTTTGATGAGTCCTGTCCCCCAGCCGCCTCTCCTCGAGGGGGGAACCCGCCCCTTCACCGCCTCAGTAGGGGGTCCTGTGTAGCTGGGGACCCTGAGGTGGGTGCCCAGGAAGAGGAGCCGGTGTACATTGAGATGGTGGGGGATGTCTTCAGGGGAGGAGGGCGGAGTGGAGGGGGACTGACTGGGCCCCCTCTTGGGGGTGGGGGGGGGCTGACCCCAACGGCTGGCGCTGACTCGGACTCAGAAGAGAGCGAGGCCATATACGAGGAGATGAAGTACCCGCTGCCCGAGGAGGCCGGGGAAGGCCGCTCCAATGGGGCCCCTCCGTTGACGGCAAGCTCCACACCGCACCAGCCTCACGCCCTTCAGCTCCACACCCAGCGCCGTCCAGCTTCAGCCCTCCCGAGCCGGAGGGAGGGGACGCCCACGAAGACCACTCCTTGTGAAATCCCGCCGCCCTTCCCCAACCTCCTCCAGCACCGTCCTCCACTCCTGGCCTTCCCCCAGGCCAAGCCTGCTTCCCGAGCCCCTGGCGATGGGGTCTCGAGGCTACCAGTCCTTTGCCACTCCAAGGAGCCAGCCGGCTCCACCCCAGCTCCCCAAGTGCCTGCCCGGGAGCGGGAGACGCCTCCCCCACCGCCTCCGCCTCCCGCTGCCAACCTGCTGCTGCTGGGACCCTCGGGCCGAGCCCGGAGCCACTCGACACCCTTGCCGCCCCAGGGCTCTGGCCAGCCCCGGGGGGAGAGGGAGCTCCCCAATTCCCACAGCATGATCTGCCCCAAGGCGGCAGGGGTGCCGGCAGCCTCTCCTGCCCCGGCTGCCTTGCTCCCCGGCCCCCCCAAGGACAAGGCCGTGTCTTACACCATGGTGTACTCAGCAGTCAAGGTGACCACGCACTCCGTCCTGCCCACCGGTCCGCCCCTGGGCGCTGGGGAGCCAAAGACGGAGAAGGAGATCTCAGTCCTCCACGGGATGCTGTGCACCCGCTCGAGACCCCCCGTGCCTGGGAAGTCCAGCCCCCATGGCGGGGCTATGGGCGCAGCAGCTGGGGTTCTCCACCACCGCGCCTGCCTGGCCTCCCCACACAGCCTTCCGGACCCAACTGCAGGCCCCCTGACCCCCCTCTGGACCTACCCAGCTGCGGCAGCTGGGCTCAAGAGACCCCCTGCCTATGAGAGCCTCAAGGCTGGGGGGGTGCTGAATAAGGGCTGTGGAATGGGGGCTCCATCCCCCGTGGTCAAGATCCAGCTGCAGGAGCAAGGGACCGACGGGGGGGCCTTTGCCAGCCTTTCTTGTGCCCACGTCATCGCCAGCGCGGGGACACCAGAAGAGGAAGAAGAGGAGATGGGCGCCTCGACGTTTGGGGCAGGCTGGGCTCTGCAGAGGAAGGTCCTGTATGGCGGGAGGAAGGCGAAAGAGCTGGACAGTGAGTGAGGAGGGGGTGACGGGGAGGGGACAGGGGATGTCCGTGATGATTTGGGGGAGGTGTTGAAGGGCATACTTGGAAGCCACAGCCCATTGTCCTGAACTGGGAACTTTTCTGGGAGACAAGAGGGATGGGGGCATGCAGCAGACTGAAGGGATGGGGTCCCCGTGTGTGCTCTGGAGGGGCAGGAAGACCTGGGATGGGGACGGGGTAGAATCTGGTCTCCTCCTCCTGCCCTGTCCCGCTCTATTCCCTGCCCCTCCCTTCGCTGGGCTGCAGGGGTGTGTGTTTGTGAGTGTGCGCACACTAGGAGCTAAACACAGCTGCCTCCCAGCCGTTACCATGGCAACCCATCCAGACAGGAGGGAGAGGAGAGGGAGGCCCCTACCGTTGCTTGGCAACGCAATGCTCTGCCAGGCTTACTCTGGGAGATGAGCTTAGTTCACATGCAGCCCTTCCCCCAATGCCCCCCTTCTCACTTCCCGGCTTTGGGAATTCTCCCCCTCCTAGGGAACAGCCCCCCCGGTCTCTGTTTCAGACGGTGTTTATTCTGGCACTGTCTGGGGCTGGAGGGGCTCTGAAGTTAAACTGGGGTAGGGGAGACCCCTCTGAACAGGAAAGAGGGTTTGGCAGCAGTAAATATCTATGATTCTCAGCCCAGGGGTGGTGCCAGGACTGGCGTCCCTCTTTCTGTGTATGTTCTGTGTGAAGCAGGGCCCCCCCCCCTTCCCAGCTGTGACCTGCAATGGGGCAAGTTACTTATGGTCCACCCAGGCCACGGTGTGTATAGCTGGGGGGACAGCAAGACCCTTCTCCTTGTACAGTCTCAGAGCTCTCCTTGTCACCCAGGAGAGGTCGAGGACAGTGTCCAGGCCTGGAATGGCAGTGCCGAGGGTGCAGGCAAGGTGGAGCGTGAGGACAGAGGCTCTGTGGCATCAGGGATCCCAGTGAGGAGCCAGGGGGCAGAGGGCCTGCTGGCCAGGATCCACCACGGAGGGGACCGAGGAGGAAGCCGCCCCGCGCTGCCCATACCCTGCCAGACCTTCCCCGCCTGCCACCGCAACGGAGGTGACACGCTCAAGCCCTCGTACACCAGCACACAGATGGGCGGGCTGGGGGGAATCTCTCAGGGTCCTCATCCTGGGCCCTACATTCTTTTTTTTTGCTGTACGCGGGCCTCTCACTGCTGTGGCCTCTCCGGTTGCGGAGCACAGGCTCCGGACGCACAGGCCCAGCGGCCATGGCTCACGGGCCCAGCCGCTCCGTGGCATGTGGGATCCTCCCGGACCGGGGCACGAACCCGTGTCCCCTGCATCGGCAGGCGGACTCCCAACCACTGTGCCACCCGGGAAGCCCCTGGGCCCTACATTATAATACCACATCTCCAACCCCTTTCCTCCTCTAATGAGGCTGGGGGTGGGGGCGGCCTGGCACGGGCTGTCCTCAGGGAACTGGGGGAGGGGAACGTGGAAGCCCCTTCCCTTCTCACCCCTCTGTCTTCTGCCTCAGACTTCACGGGAGGCTACCGCCTGGGGCGCTCCGCCTCCACCTCAGGAGTCCGGCAGGCCGCGCTCCACACCCCTCGGCCCTGCAGCCAGCCCAGGGATGCCCCGAGCCAGGTGAGGAGGGAGACGGGGTTGGGCATTTTATTTGTGAAGGAACAGGTAGGCAAGAAGGCCCGGGTGAGTGAAGAAAGGCAAGACTTCAGGCTGGGGCCTGCCACAGACTAACGGGGACGGCTGGAGAGCGAGGGGGTGGGGGAGATCCTGGGTAGCCAGCCAGGGCCGCCACTGGCCGACGTGCGCCTTTGTGCGTTGCGTTTAGAAAGAGACATCCCCTCTGGGTGGAAAAATGCATCCTGCTGGGAAGACAGCTTTGAAAAGGCGCCCCTTCCTGGGGTGAGACACGCACCGCCTGGCACCAGGGCGCAGGGAGAGAGGACGGAGGCCTTGGGGGCAAGAGAGGACTTGTTTCTGGGCCAAGCATTGGCCTCGGCGCTCGGCGGTGGGGACAGGGCCGGGTGACTCTGAGGTCCTTGACCCCCTTATTCCTCCCTCCCCCCCCATCCCCGTCGGGGCCGGCGGCGGGAGGAAGGGACACAGATCCAGCCTGCGCTGCCGCTGCCGCTGCCGCTGCCCCTGCCGCCCCAGGCCACCCGCGAGCGTGACGGCAAGCTGCTGGAGGTGATCGAGCGCAAGCGCTGCGTGTGCAAGGAGATCAAGGCGCGCCACCGTCCCGACCGCGGCCTCTGCAAGCAGGAGAGCATGCCCATCCTCCCCAGCTGGCGGCGCGGGCCTGAGCCCCGCAAGTCCGGCACGCCGCCCTGCCGCCGGCAGCACACAGTCCTCTGGGACACCGCTATCTGAGGAGGCCGGGGCGCCGGGACCGGGGAGCGGGGCGGGGGAGACCGGCCTCGAAAGAGGGACGCTTGAAGGACCAGGTGAGAGAGAGCCGGGGAGAACCTCTGCCCTCCACCCTAGCCCCCGAGACGGGGAGTCGGCCGGGCCCATCGGGTTGAGGGCGCCAAGCAGCACCCCCAGAAACTTGGGGGAGGGTTGGCTTGAGGTTGGGAGTGAGGCCCTCCGCCGCTCTTCCCACTGAGCCAAGCAGACCCCTTCTCTTGAGGGGGCGAAGGCCAAGCCCAGGTCAGCGTGGGGAAGGAGGGAAGGGTCAGGGAGGAAGAAGGGGGGGCGGGTCAGCGAGGGACAGGGACCGGAGAGTGAGAGGTAGAGGGGCTCTTTTAGAGAGTGGGGAGTGGGGGAGGTGCTGTTTATTTTGTTATTTATTTTGGGCTGGGGGGCAATTCTTGGCCCTTCTGATCTACTCCTGAACAGGGAGTGGGGAATTGCAGGCAAGTAAAGGGAACCAAGCTGGCACTCTCCCCAACGCCTAAAGGCCCTGCTATCCACGCCCCGCCAAAGCTAGGGACAGGTCTGGAGTGGGGAGTGGAGCAGGAGAAGGGAGGGGCTCCGGGGAGCCCGGGGGCCAGAGGGCTCATTTACAGTATTTACAAGTCGCCAGTATTTGGTAGTGAGCTTGGCCTGCTCTGAAGCAGGCATCTTACTTAGCTCCGGGGTGAGGGTCTGGCACCTGGGATGGGGGGGATGATGGGGAAGGAGGGAAATTTTCGCGGGTGGGGGGCGGGCAGGGTATTTATTTAAATTAAAAAGCAAAACAAAAAACTCAGAAGAGATGTCAGGAACTTTTTTTTAATTCCTTTCTTTTCAGAATAATATATTAAAAGACTAACGATCCTAGAACTGGCTTCTTATGTTTCAGTGCGCTCCGCCTTTCATATACCCGTCCCGTTTTCACTCTTGCCCCTGGTTGGTGGGAGCCAGAGGTTGTGCAGGGCGGGTTACTATGGCACGTGAGAGGGAGAGGTGGAGCTGGAGGAAAGTCTTTGGGAACGCCACCGTGCAGTGACTCAGCAAACCCTAATTGAGCATCTGATGTGTGCGTGGCCGTGCGCCGATGCAGAAGGAACGTTCCGACTGAAGCCTGTCCTCAAGCAGCTTGTAGTCTATTCAGGGAGGTGAGATACCTGAGCCGACACCAGGCAGTGCTCCAGGAGTAGGAGAGGGAGAGAGCTGGACTCCTCCGACAAGGTACAGTGAGCCTAAAAGTACAGGTAAGGTTTGGATGAGCAGGGGGAAGGTCCCAAGCTCGTGTGATGATTATCTGCCGTGGTGGGATGGGCACAGCAACTGTGTTTAAATGATGCTGAGGGCAGTGAGTCAACCTTGATGAAGCTGGTGGAGAAGGAGGGGCCTCAAAGCAAGAGGCTGGTCCTCAAGAAGGAATCCAGGGAGGAGGATAAAAAGAGTGTCTGGGAGAATGGAAGGCAAAGGGACAGTTTGCAAGATGCAACTGAAAGAAAACATCCTCTGATGGGGATGAAGGGGCCGAAGCGGGTATCCACGAAGCCCAAGTTTGGCGCTCAGGTGGCTGAGGAAATGATCAGCCTGACACAGCATGGAAAGTGGGGTTGAGAGGGGCCGTGAGGGAAGAATGTTGACTGGGAAGCAATGGCGAATATTCAGGTTTGTTACCAGCTAGACCAGAGATTCAAAAATGCAAGGATGATACCAGAGATGCCTTTTAGTTCTGTATTTATACGCATGCATATTAGAGAAATTCTAATCAGCACATCAGAACACTACTTGTTATGTCACAACAGTTATTGCACAAGATAAGGCTAAATTTATTTTTAATGAATTGGTTTAAAGAAAAACAGTAAGCAAATAAATAACAGTACAGGTGGAATACAGAATACGAAAAATTATGACAGTGGTGTGAGAATTTTTGAAATTTAGGAAATACCAAGTTAGAGATAAGACGATGATGGTTTGGGAGAGCCGACAAGACTGGATGTTAGGAGTCATCAACATAGAGATGGTACTCAAGGCCAAGACTGAGCTCCATAGAGAGGGTGTGGACAGAGATAAGAGTTAAGAACAAGGAATAGCTTTTAAATTATTTATGTTTCTTTTAAATTTCACTATATATATATATATATAGTGAAATGATCACCGTGATAAGTTTAGTTGACATCCATCACCACAAATACTTACAATTTTTTTTTTTTGTGATGAGAACTTTTAAGATGTACCCTCTTAGCAACTTTCAAACATAGAATATAGTATTGTTAATTATAGTTACCATGCTGCACGTGACCTCTCCAGGACTTACTTATCTTATAACTGGAAGTTTGTACCTTTTGACCACCTCCCATTTTTCCCCACCTCCCACCTCCCAGCTCTGGCAACCAATCTCTCTGTATCTATGAGTTTGGTTTTCTTTCTTTTTTTTTTTTTTTTCAGATTCTACATATAAATGAGATCATACGGTATTTGCCTTTCTCTGTCTGACTTATTTCACTTAGCATCATGCCTTCAAGGTCCATCCATGTTGTCGAAAATGGCAGGATTTCCAATAGCTTTTTAATAATTAGTTAGGAAGTTAATGGAAGGAAATATCTCATTTATAAGAGCAACAAGAATCATAAAATATCTAAGAGTACTTTAACAAGAAAAGTATAGGACCTCTATTCGATTAATCAATAAAACTAAAGTACTTTGAGTTTCTCAACCAAGGAAGACTTGAATAGGCAGAGTAATAACTAGTTCTTAAATAGGAAGACCGTAATGTAAAAGATGTAAGTCTTCCCTAAATCAGTAAATTCAATGAAGTCTCTAAATCTCAAAAGGATAATTTGGGAAACTTGACAAAACTATTCAAAAGTTTATCCAGAATGATAATGAGAAAAACCAGAACATTCCGAAACAGATGAGTAAGGGGGGGACCTGGCCTATCAAATATTGAAAGCACAGTGAGCTGGGATTGGCACAGGAATGGCACAATCTATCAGAACAGAGTCCAGAAATAGCAGCAAAGGCACATGGGAATCTAGCATGTACATGATAAAGGTGGCACTTGAATAGTGGGGAAAAGATTATTTGATAATTGTTTCGTGAACAATTAGCTAGTCAAGGGAGAGTGTGGGAAGCTGGATTTCTATTTCATTAATTACATCGAAAGATTTAAATGTAAAAACAAAATATTAAAAGGGAGAAGTGGGTGAACATTCTCATAACCTTGGGAGGGAGGAGGCCCTTCTAAAATGATATGAAAACCAGTAACATGTAAATCAACTATACTCCAATAAAAATTAGAAAAAAAAAAAACAGTAACAAATAAACCAAAAGGCATTTAAGTTTGATCTCATTCACAGCTAAAACTTCTATATGGCAAAGCCAAACCAGAAACATTAAACAAGGAAGTTATTTCTAACACATATTAAAAAGCTTGATACAATATACAAGAAAGACTTGTGAGTTGATAAGAAAAAGAAAAAACAATCCCAGCAAACGCGAACAAAGGACATGAACAGACAATTCACCAAAGAAAGAGAAATTACCAACAAACGCACATGCTCAACCTTAACAATAAGTACTGCGAAATAAAACCATAATAAAACACTTTTCACCCATCAGACAAAACTGAAAAAAATTCGTAACATCAGTCTGGCAAGTATGTGCAGAAGACAGGCATTCATTGTGTAAATGTAAATTAATACAGTCTCTCTGGAGGTCGGTTTAAAAATATTTATGAAAATCTTAAATGTGCATGGTTTTGACTCAGAAATTCCATTTCCAGGAATTTATCCTACGGAAATTGTTACACAGGTGTGCAAAGCTGAATGCACAAGGGTGCTAATTGCTGCACTGTTTGAAAGAATGAAAAATTGGAAACAACCCCAAAGTTCATCAGTACGGCACTGACTAAATAATTATGGGAACAATGGAAAACTAAAACTGTTAAACAGAACGCAGGAAATATAGATGTTCTAAACACAAGAAGCAGTTCCCAATAAATTAATAAGTGAATAAAGCAATGTGCCGAAAAGGACATACAGAGAAAGCCCAGTTTTAGAAAAATTATTTATTCATAAATGTTTATGTAGGTCTGGAAGGAAATACACCAGATAGTTGATGGTGATGATTTTGAGGTCTGAGAAGAGAGGGGACTTAAGTTTACTTTTAAAAAATAGTAACATTTATATTGCTTGAATTTTTATGTCTTCGTTCTGAAATCAGAAAATAGATATTATTTTCTAAAAAAGAAAAACAGTGCTCAGTGACAAGAAGCAGAGGCAGGCACGAGGTGTCAGGGACTGTGGAGCTGGCGTGTGTGGGTTCAAGTCCCAGATCAGCACTAACAGCTAAGTTTCTCACTTTCCTTATCTATAAAATGGGAATGATTAGAGGGTTGTTGAGGAGATTGAATAAGATAGCACAGTGCCTCCTTTGAGGCTGAAGAGAGATGGGTAGGGATACAGACCAAGATGGGGGAGATGAGAAAGAGACCAGAACCTCAGCAAGGCTGGAGTGACAAGAGTCAGGGTAGGAGGGGCTCAGGCAGAGGCAGGCAGCTGAGGCTGCCATGAGCCAGAGGTACACAGCCCTTCTGCTAGGTGTACAAGATCAAAGGCCTGAGAAGAGTTAGAAGTTGAAAGAACAGGGTGTGCTAGAATTATAAACCTCACATAGCATCTGGAGGAATGAGCATCCCCTGGGAAGTCAGCCTGGACCCAGCCCTGCCTGCCTGACACCTGGTAAAACTCACCTGGGACTCCACATCCCTTCCTGGGGTCACCAAGGCACTTCCGACGCTGACTTTCTACTTTTTGAAACCCCAGCAAAGCAGGGAACTCTAGGGCAGCACAGCCAGAGATGAGAGGGCCCTGGAACATTCAAGTCAAGAGGGAGGCAGGAGCTGGGTCGGGGAGACCTTTACTGGGGAGGGAATGCTTTTCGAACCAAAGGGGAGAGAAAAAAAAGACCTCAGAAATAACACCTGCCTTATCTTTCATGGCCCATTTTACCCATTGAGATCATGTTTCAGTTCTGATGAGAGATTTCTATCAAAGATTACTAGGATCACATCAAAAAGACTCAGGAGCAAATCTGAAGAGGCTCCCAATGGCCAAAGGATGGGATAATTGGAGCATCAGGAAGGGTAAGAACTGCAGTGGACTGAGTTAAATTCATGAGTTCATAATGGCTGAACAATTGCCCGCCTTTGGAGGATGCCAGGAATCACTTCATTATTTTGAAAACTCGTAAGTAAAGGGAAAAATCAAGCATCTATCTGGCTTTATCAGATCACCGGTGAAGGGAAGTTTTTCTTTATAGAACTCTTCCAGCTAATGAACAAAGATAGAATTTTAGAATTGGAGCATCACCCTGAAGGAGTGGATCCAGGTATTGAGTTTCAACAGCAGCTAACATCACAGAGCACATTATAAGAGACAACCAGACATTCTATGCCTCCTGATGGAAGAATGCACCACCACCTATGAAGTGTTGTTGCCCCCTAAAAATCGAACCTAGGAATATGATCAAGCCTCTAGATGCCACTACCAATTACAGGAAGTACAGAGGAGAGGAGAACACATTGAACACCAGCAAAATTAGGACTGTGGGAAACACCTCGGGGCAAACCACCTGGATTCCTCCACAAATATATCACCAGGGAAAATAAAGAGATGGAGCAACAACCCATAGATTAAAAGAGACTGCAAAAGACATATCATCCACTGTGAT